TGTCACATGTCAAATGGCGTGCAAATACTACCCCATTAGCCCACGCCTGCTGCTCTCTTAAGAAGAGCGAGCTTTCCAAGGCATGGATCAAACCCATTGGTATGGGGCGCCAAAGTGGCAGCTTTGGGAACTTATCTACATGACGACGGCTGATACCTGCCCCTCCGTTATCGTCTTGACCGTCGCGTGCCTCATACGGCGTCCCGTGCTGACGAGGAGACCGCAGATGTGCACTTCAAACTTCTCAGTACCAGCAGCAGCCGTGCGAGCAGCAACCGTTCCCAGTGTGCGAGCGTCCAGCTGAAGTGTGCCGTGCACTGTGTGACGCTGTGTGTGCCGTCCGGCAGCCATGCTGCCGAGTGTGCTGGGCTGGACGGCCTGCCTACTGGGCTGGGCGGCCTGCCTGCTGAACTGGACGGCCTGCCTGCTGGGCTGGCTGCTGCTCCTGGTCATGACGCTCCGGGTGGCGCTCGGCCCCGACGGCGTCGACGCCCTGCGCGCCCGCCTGATGGCCTGGGCCATGAACCGGTTCAAGACACAGCAGGAGCAGCAGCTCGCTGCCATCAAGGCCGAGCTCTTTGAAGAGATGAAGCAGATGCAGTCGGCGGGACCGAACCTCAAGGGAGGGCAGTCTGGACATCCTGGAGGTGAGATGTGCCGGGGAGCGGTGCCGGCGTCCGGATGTGCCGCAAGGACCAGTGCATCATCGGTATACGACTGTCTTCCACCTCGCTGTAGACCCGTCCAGCAGCCCTCAACCAGACACGCGTGCTGAAAGATGTTTACCACCGATGTTCCGCGCAGTTACAGACCTCGTTGCCAGGTCTGCAGCAATCACAACGTAGCTTGTGTATCATCTCAGATTGGCGTCGGCTGCGGCACGAACCTGCAGCACTACCCGGCTGGCTCTGTGCTGACCTGTGTCGATCCCAACATCCATTTTCAAGACTACTTCCGGCGAACGTGCGTCGAGCATGCTGCCCACCTCCACCCGGACATCCGGTTTGTTGTCGGTCATGGCGAGGATATGACGGCCGTGAAGGACGGATCGGTGGATGCTGTGGTACTCACCCTGGTCCTCTGCAGCGTGCGGGATCCCAGCAAGGTGGTGCACGAGGTCCAGCGCGTGCTCAGGCCGGTGAGAGAGGTCGCCAACGGCTGGCAGCAGCCGCGGCTCAGGCGGGGATCTGGGCGCCGCTCGACTGCCTGCGTGACTTAATCGCCCGGCTCGTGTCTTACAGTCAGGCTCGTATTGCACGCAGCGCGACTTCCTTCATGCAATTGTCATGACGGCCTGCATTTTCGCTACCCGGATGGAACTGCATTGGCTAACTCAAACGCGTTGCATTATTGAGCTCTCCCACCTCCCCCCATTATGTTGTGTCAAGAGCTACGTGATGAGACGTAAACCCGTAGGAATTAATGTCTTTTGTCCATACTCTTTTGACATGACTTTGAATATGTTGCCTTCAGGACCCGTCAGATTACTGAACTAGAGCGATTTAAATTTATCATGTCCTAAAAAGTATTCAGTGTCATCAATATCTGTTTCTACTGCAACGGCATAGACTGTCATGACTTGTGATTGTTATCCATGGCCTGAGCTACAAGACTTCTATGGCGTTCACAATATTTTAGTCAGACAATATTGCTGCGATTTGGGAGCTGTACTTCAGTTTTTTTGTGGGGGGGGGGGGGCGTATGTGGCGTATGTTTCCTCTGGACATTATTTAGTTGGACTGCGGCAAACTGATATGAGAGGACCCGACCTTACTCGTTTCATCTGCTCAGCTGGGCTTTTTAGTTAGATGGGCTCGTACAACCAGAAGTTGCACTTTCGTCTGTCTTTCGTCAAAGTCCTTCGCGTAAAAGCTCCGCGTGGCAGCACATTATACCCCTTTAAGGCGAGCGAACATCAGTTGGGGCCAAGTAAGCAACTACTATAAGCACTGATATTGTCAACGTTGGTCGGCACGGCTCTCACTGATATTTGAGGCTAAATGAGGAGGTGCCCTTCGATCTCGTACAGCCTGGGTTGACTGATACGTGATCCAGTGGCTCTTGAGGACCTCGCTCAGCCGTTGCAGGCGTGTTGGCTGTGAGGCTGGGCGCGGACCATTGGAATACGGCCTTTTGAAAACTATCTTTCGATGTCAGTTTTCACAGACAGGATGGTATAGTCGTTACTCTCAGACAGAGGCAGCTTAACTGTAGCCAACCACGGACAACGTAGATGCTGCATCTATCTTCTGTTCTGCTACCTTATGTTAGAAAGTAACACTTAAGCGTGAAACGCCGTTACAGCTGTTAGCACCACTACCACACGCTCGCCTCCCGCAGAGTCCGCGTCAAAGCAAAGGCAATGAGGAATTGACGCAGCGCCAAAAGCAAACTCGAAAAGAAAGAAGGCAGGAAATGGCTAAGAAAGTGTTCTAAACTATTTTACGGCTACCAAATGGCAAAACAAGAATTATCAGCACACCTTATCTCTGAAAGGACACGTTTATTCATGAGCCATCTGTATTGTGCTCAGGGCGGCAAGTTTATCTACCTGGAGCACATCGGATTTCCGGAGAACACATTCCAGAGGCGGATACAAGATGCGCTGACCCACAGTGGTGTGTGGCCGTGTGTGATGCAGTGCTGGCTCAACAGGGACCCCCGGAAGGTGAGCGACTCGTCGCCTGGCGCGCGCCACCTGTCGCCTCAACGATAGGGCCGCGCGCAGTCCCATACCGCACCCCGCATTGCCACGCCCAAACCAGTCTGCTAAGTGGTAGGAGTCTGTCTGGAAAACGTCACGTAAATAAGTCTGTACAGGTGCCTGCACAGCTCCTTGCGACAGGACGTCCATCTGCAATTCATCAACTACCTTCTATCAGTAAGGGCTCCGAATATTAGTTCCGTGTCGCGTACAATGCGTCACATGCTCCGTCTGTCATCGTTATGGAATCTTCCGAGGTAACGTCAGAACGCATACGTCTGAACGTCGTCGTAGGTATCTGTAACGTCAGAATGCATACGTCTGAACGTCGTCGTAGGTATCTGTAAAGTTCTTCCGGCCAGAGCTAGCTTTACATGGTTTAGTCAGTATGTGGTTGCACCGAACCCTTAGGTGAAACCTACCCAATTTTCGCAGATCTTCGCTAAGGCTCGATGTGGTTGAAGGCTATGCCATAGGCTTAGATCAGCCCAAACGACTGGCTGATACCCCAATGAGCTGACAGATGGCTGCACATTCTCCAGCCAAGATGAACACGCTTAGGCGAGGGCAGACTCGTAGCAAATGAGGTCGGAGCATATCTAAAAGCCTTCACGCAGCAGTTGGCTATTTTACTTTACAGCCTCTATTGAACGCGGCTTTTAGGCCAGCCAACTTTGCGACATTTCTCGCGAAACTTGATTCAGATCTGATCGTTTGTAGCATTTAGGTCTGATCGTTTGTAGCACTCAGATCTGATCGTTTGTAGCATTCAGATCCGATCGTTTGTAGCGCGGCTATGCGGGGCACTATGTCAACACCACGACGCGCGAAGTTCTCCATCGAGCCCAGTCTGAGCTTATTAGCGGATGATCGGCGGGGGGCCCGAACAGCATATCGTGCCAGAAGCCAGATTCTGGTGAGGTGGAACAGACGTGCCAGGAGCCAGATTCTGGTGAGGTTGAACAGACGTGCCAGGAGCCAGACTCTGAGTAGGTGGAACACATGTGCCAAGAGCCCCTCTGGTAAGGTGGGGCACACGTGCCAGGGGCCAGACTCTGATGGAGTGGAGCACACGTGTCAGGAACCAGACCCTGATTAGGTGGAGCACATGTGCCAAGAGCCACTCTGGTGAGGTGGAGCACACGTGCCAGGGGCCAGACTCTGATGGGGTGGAGCACACGTACCACTCTCATCGGAGGACAGAAAACTCCCCGGTCAGTTTATTCGAGCCAAGGCGCTTACATTCAACCAGAACATATTTTTTTACAGATTGGTTTTCAGTTGTCTGCGTGCCGACCTCCAAGCAGTGCCTCCTGGAGTGGCGCGCCCGGTCAGCGGCCAGCGTGCTGCTGTGAAGTGACGAGGAAGTAGTGCCTGGACTGAAACCCACTGACGGAAATCGTCCTCCTTAAACCTGATCCGGCTTGGACGCGCGGCCATCGGACGTTGTTTGTAGCATTGGGGCGGCACGGGTATTTGGTTTGGTTTTTCCATGGACGATCACAGGTCTGAATTCAACGGTCAGATTGCTTCCCCCTGAAGCTTCCACCCCACGTCAGGAGGCATGTGCGTTCAGAGCCCGTATTTGCTAATCTGGCCGGTCGCCGAGACGGCTCACGTCCACGGCGACCACGGAGGAGAGGAGCTGACAGAACCTGTCGTCCCCAGGTCATTGAAGCCGGCCACTTTAGGTCCGTGGAGCAGCGCCTGCAGCCGATTGTCGAGCATCTGAGCCTCTGCAGTCCGCTGCACCTGATGAATCGCTGCCTGACGGGAGTGGCTACCAAATGATGTCGGGCAGGGGAGCAAGAAGCCAGGCAGCGGGTGCCTTAGCTCCCGCGTGGGGAGCTCCAGTTCGAATCCCGGTGGTGCCATGACCCCTACACGTTAATTTGGTCACCTTAATTTCTGGCGTCCCATAAGAGGGCGCGCCACGACGCGTGCCACGTGTATTTTACTGACATGCCGTCAGCAGACATGAGAGGTGGACACCGTGGACCAGGCGGCGCTGAGTCCGGCGTCCATTCCAGGCGACGTTGAGTCGTCAGTCCAATGGACACAATGTGCGCGTTGTGAAGTAGGGTGCGACAACGCCGGTCATCTTGATAGAATGCAACAGACAAGGTGCGACAGCTTGGGTCTTCGTGTGCACCGTTTATATTACACAGAGGCGGGTGCCGTATGCATTATAAATATACATAGATTTCGCGCTTGTACAATGTAAGGCGTTCTAACAATTGATGCTGATTTATATCATAAGGTTTTTACAATAGCATGCATTACACATTAGAGGAGACAAAAATTCGTTCCAATGAGAAGACAATTTATAGGTGTTCGAGTAGCAAAGGAAAGCAAAAATCCTCTAATTAAATAACCTATCTCTTTCGGGCCTTCTCACAATTAAGGGGAACAGGCAGTCGTCGCTGTTGCCATGGCAGCCAGCGACAGTACAACGATTTGTAACTGTTCCTGGTGCCGTTACCCTGCGCGGTAAGGCACGAATATTCAGGGATGTTTCAAATGGCGGCATCTATCCGTTGTATTGGCTTTCGGCGCTGCAGTGCCGCAGCGACGCATAACCAACACCGTTAAACTCAAGACCCCGGGCCGAAGAAGCAGCGACGCGTAAATCTGGAGACGCGCCTCGCGACGCACGCGCTCGAACGGAGCCTGGAAGAGACCTATGGCTTTGGAGACGCGCCTCGCGACGCACGCGCTCGAACGGAGCCTGGAAGAGACTGTGGGCAAAGAGCTGGACAAATACTTCGGGACTTGGCCTGGTGCTGTTGGTCGTGATCCGAGCTTTGGTGCAGCTCGCCTCCCCGCTATACGGGCCTGTCAGCAGCGACTCACTGCCGACGAGTGCCGCCATCACTTCACCAGATGAATGGCGACCATGTTCGTCATCGCCCAGTGCAGCCTGGACGGGTTCGGCATGGCGCCCGGCCTCGCCGCCGCCGGGGTGCAGGTGCGCACGACCTGGACCTGTCACCACCTGACCGCCCGATGAACCACCCCGCCCGCCCGTCCGGAGCAGGAGCGGTGTCGGGACGTGCCGCCGGGGGTGCAGGGTTGCTCCCGCCGGGGGTGCAGGGCTGCTCAGTACTGGAGAGCGTGCAACCATGACACCAGCTGATTGTGCCACTGCCGCGCGATCCCTGCTTCCCAAGCCCCCCACTATTGAGGGATAGCTGAGCCGCTGAATCAGGCGTCACCACGCCCCTCGGAGACACCGGCTGATGTCATCAGTATAAAGCCGTTTCCGAAGGTGCAGGTTCCGGCCTGCAACGCGAGGCCAGGACCGGACGTTGCCATTCAGGACTTTCGAGGCGATTTCACGACTGTGGTCTTCACGTTCGGGAGAAAGCAGCTCTGTCCGTCAGTTCGATATAGCGAGAGACCGAGCCCCCAAACGGCTGCATCGGACAACGGCTGGTCAACGGGGGGGACGCTTCCTGGATTGGCTCCAGCTGTCAACGATCCTTTCTGATGCGTCTGTCGCCAACAAAAGGTTTGCTGATTCTCGATAGCCATCGATCGCTCTGCAGCACACAGATCTGGACTCTGTTCGATGAGCATGATGTCACGACTCTGACGTTGTCCTTATGCATCGCACAAACTGCAGTCATCATCATCTAGAGGATGGATGTAGTCTTGGAACTATGACTTTTAATCATGAGACAATGGAGCTCTTCTCCTTTGGAATCTGCATACGAAAGACGTTTGTAACAGGCTCAATGAATCCAGTCGATCCCGGCTCCAATAAACCTGGTTGTCGGCTGGTTATAGCTTGGCCAAACGATACCCTGGCTATGCTAAGGCTTGGCTCCGGGCTGGCTCGGCTGGGATCAACTGCTGCAGCAGGCATTAGAGCATCCGGGCGCCTCGGCTGCGCGGTCATGCAGTACCCATTTGGGTCGACCGTTAAAAAGAGGTATGGTGAACGGCTTTTCATCCGACACGTTTAAAATCTGCTTGCATTTTTTATAAGTAGATCGAAAACATGTCATAGTTTACGCCGTCCTACGGAATCCTCCCGTCTGCGGCGCATTAATATTATTTTTAGCGCAAAAGTTTGAGTGTTGTCCCCGTTGCGAAGCCTTGCATCCGTCACCACGCGCCAACACCGAATCTAAGACAAATATGAATCGATGCGCGTTTTCACAACCATCGCGTCAGTGAGGACATGCATGCTTGTTTTATCCGTTACATGCTATAGTCTCATTTGAAACTAATGCCACGTGCCTACGTGCTGCGCTGAGCGCTGGTCAGGGTTATTGATGCCCACGAGGCAATCGTCATAAAAACGCGCGATAGTGCTTCACTAACACCACAGGGAGATAAAATGACAGCTCTTTAACGGTGACAAAGCAGGGCAATAGATACAAGTGGAAGTTATCATCCTGTAGTTATCATTACCTGTGGGCGTAGTGGTATTACCAACCCTACGATATGTTGTCGTCGATGAGATGTTTTTGCGCTGCTGCTACAGCGAAAGGCACACTCCTCGAATAAGAGACAAAGTTGGCCGCCATGAGCCCCAATATGGTGGAGTTCCGTCGTTTGCCGGCTTCTGCAGGGCCGCTGTTGCCCCGGCCGGTCCAGAGGCGCGCGGGCCGGCCCGGTCCGCCGGCGTCCGGTGGCGGCTGTGGCGCTCGGCGGTCGGCGCCGGCTCGGTGCGTGCGCCGGCCGTCCCGCTGGCGCCGCCGCCCACCGCAGACGCGTCCAGTCGGAGGCTGCTGCGGAGCGGCCAGGTCGGCGCGCCGCCCCAGTCTGAGACCCGTCCGGCCGGGAGAGCGCCGACCGACCGACGGAGCGGGTTCGGCGGCCCGGCCCGCCTCACCGCCACCCACACCGGTGAGCCGACGCACCATTTGGCTCGTGCCGCTGCGCAGGGAACCGCTGGTCTGCTGTTACTGCTTTAGCACTCGCTTAGCTCAAGCTGCTGTTGACGTTACCACGGGAGTATTTGTGCTGGGTGCGCGGCCTTAAAAAGAAGGCATCTGGCGAGCAGGCAGCATGCCCGGGAGTGTTAGTAAAACGCTAGCAAAAGATAATGCAAGGCATGCAAATGTATTTACAGAGACCCAGTGCAGTGCAGTCATGAAAATATCAGCTCATATTGTTTTATGTCTTATGTCTGCCTTATGTCTTACGTCTTATGTTAAAGTATTGTCTTGTGACACTACTTTAGATGCATATACAATGTTTCGAATATACTACGGTCTGCACCATGCATATATACAACAAACCTCCATTGGTGTATAAGGTGCAGGACTCTCCGGGTAGGGAATGCTGCAGCACTCTTGCTGTCCAATCAGAGCCAAGTGATCCCTTATTCTTACCTATAAGAATCGCGTATTTTTTAGCACGCGCAAGTTACATTTTGTAGTGAGTTTTGAGTGCCATCGCCGATGGACTGCCCCCAAATTGTACTGTGATATTCAAACCAGCGTCCATCCGTCTGCGACTTGACAAAGATGCGTCTGTGCGTGACCGTCAGGCCAGTAGTCGAGCTGTGGTCATCCTCGATGGATTTGTGTGACTGGACAGATCGGTGTGGATGCGTTGAGAGGTTTTGCCTACCGGGTTGATGAGGGAGGGTGGTTTCTTGTCGTTTCCTGTCGTGGCGGCTGTCTGGCTTCCGTTCGCGTGAATGGCTCGTAAAGGGGTCTCAGAAATAAATACATTGACAAAGTAGAGCATTAATGCCAACCACACAGCTGTCGTTTCTATCACTGTGGAATAAGCATGAAAAGTAAATGGGCCATCTCCAAGCCAGGCAACGGACAGATCGAGTCAGCCAGCTCTTCACGATTCAGAAGCGATGTAGCTGGACGTTGGTACTGTAGACAAGGCACCGAATTATGCACTTTCATGCGCATTGTTCAGAACTGTGTAAAACGAGAAGCAGCGGGTATCGAAACGGCTAGCTCCGGTGTTCGCGGAGCCTGTCAGACGCGCTGAGCGACAGCAGCGGGTATCGAAACGGCTAGCTCCGGTGTACGCGGAGCCTGTCAGACGCGCTGAGCGACAGCAGCGGGTATCGAGACGGCCAGCTCCGGTGTACGCGGAGCCCGTCAGACGCGCTGAGCGACAGCAGCGCGAGTCTTCAGCGAACGGGACCCAGTCCACTCGGAGCGGCGTGACACGAAGGTCCGTAAAATTTCGACAGCCGTTCGCTGACACCCCGGCCTACCGACGACCGTTCGCTGACACTCCGGCATACCGACGACCGTTCGCTGACACCCCGGCCTACCGACGACCGTTCGCTGACACCCCGGCCTACCGACGACCGTTCGCTGACACCCCGGCCTACCAACGACCGTTCGCTGACACCCCGGCCTGCAAACCGCCCAAGGATCTAGCCCAAGCTGATACCAACCGAAATAACTCAAAACGTAGCGCCTTAAGACAGTTTTTAACGCTTTGTCAAATAACCAATGGAACTAGCGCCAACAAAAGTCATTCAGGCACATGAATCAGTGCAGAAATGTAATTGTTTAACCATTGGACCGCAGGGTTTTGGAGTTTAAGGTCACGAAAAGCATTAAGGATAGAGGCGTACAGAGTACATACGACAGATTCGTCTGATCCCTCTCGTCGTAGCCATACTTAATGTTTAGGAACTGAATATTTCGCTTTAACCAAAAAAGCACGACACCTACAGCTATCAAAAGAGCCGAACTTACCTTCTTCGGCATTTTATGTGGCACGGCAAACCAGATGACCTTTCCAAAGATCACAAGCCAGCCAGATATTCCACATTGTTCCATGGTGTCTGTTTGGGGCTCCTCAGACAGCCTGGTCTCCATGGGAATGCTATCCAGATACCAGCGCCGATTCCGGCTCGTCTGCCCAGTCCGGGGTCCTCCCTTGAAAGGGCGAAGAACCTATTTCCTACTACCCTTCCCTCAGGCACAGAGCGCTTCACTATGTATGTTTTATTATACATACAAATATATATATATATATATATATATATATATATATATATATTTATATAAACGTATGATCATTTTACCCACCGAACCAGGTAAAAGTCGGTCATAACTTTAATCGAAGAAAACCTGGATGTTTATTTGGTATCAACATAGCCGACTGTGCAAAACTGCTAACTCACATGTTAAGCAAAAATCAAA